GTGTGGTTATGTATGAGAGAGTGTGTGACTGAATAAGTGTGAATAAGATGAAACAAAAGAATATTTTAAGAAATGCCATTTTTCTCATGAAATTAGGCATGCTATTCAGAAAGTCGGCAACAGGACAAAATCCCAGCGGACAAAAACCGACCGGACTAAAACCCAGTGTGCAAAATACAAATATCAAAAATAAAAGTCTCATATATGAAAATAAACAAATTTAACAATTGAAAATTCAAGGAAATTAATTCAAATTTTAATGTAACATTGAGACAAAGAAATAGATTTTTCTTCGATTTTAGTTTAATTCGAACAAATCTATAAAAAATTATTTAAGCCCATAGTTCGGCATAATCTGTCTTCGTATACGAACTACGTTGCTTTTAACGTTTTCTGGCAAAACTTTTTTCTTTCAAGTAAAGTCGGATCTTATGGGATACTAGGACTCCCTAACAGTGAAATGCATCGAATAAGCAAGCGACCGTAGCATTGTTAGAAAAGGGTACCCGAATGAAATAGATCTTTCTTGTACATGTATATACTGGGTATTAGTATTAATGACTCAATTTGAAATTAAAATTTGAATTGAATTATTGAGTGCGATTATATATATATATATATATATATATATATATAATAAATTAATTGATTTAAAATATGTTTTTTTTTCGCTACACAGTCCTAACCATGTTTCAAAAATGGAAGCGAAAAGCCACGAATTTAATTTTGTGATTAAATTAAAGACATTAATCATCCTCAAGCGAATTTTGGAGTAACTTTTTAAAATTACTGGGTTTTAAATACACAGCTAAAACAAAATTCATGCTTCCAAGGTTACAGATAAATCTATTTTTCTAGACAGGGGTGGCTGGGTTTTCAATATGTCTATTTTAATGTATCAGTTATTGCTATGTTTGGGTCGTGGGAAGGGATGTATTTTTCAATGAAATCTAACTTCCGTTAAAAGCCTGTCGTCTAGATTTTTTTAAAATTATATTGTTAACGGCTAAAATTCTTACGGCATTTATTTGGGGTGGGGTTGTTTAGGTAAGAATACATTTTATTTAAGTACGATTTGAAATATTTTTACTTTTAATTTTTAATATACTATATTTCTTTCAAGAACAATTAAATGTAATTAGAATCCCTTACAGTTTGTAGAATAATTATCACATCAAGTATATTACGATTTTTTTTAAAATTTTATATTTAAATATTACTAAAGTAAAATTTTCATTATGAATAAAAATGACAATAGGAAAACTAGTAATTGCTGACGCGTTCCGTCCAATGTGGACTTTATCAAAGCAAAATACAAAATGAATTTAATTGAACAAGGTAACTAATAAAAACAAAAAACCAGAATGTTCCTAGCAACTGGAATGTTGAGAAACGCTATTTTCATATTGTTAACTGAAAATAACGTCAGTATTTGTCACGTGTGGAGAATATTGTCATTATATCAACCATTTTCTTTTGATTTTATGAATCTGTTGTGTACATTTGTTTATGAGAGCAGTAATTAAGAAAGGTGAAATGGGGAGAAAAAAAACTTTGATAAAGTCCACATTGGACGAAACGCGTCAGCAATTACGAGTTTTCCTATTGTCATTTTTATTCATAAATATTGTCTTCTCTACTGGTTAAATCGGAGAAATTTTTATATATGTATATATATATATAAAATTCGCTTGAGGATGAAATGGAACTAATGTCTTTAATTTAATCACAAAATTAAATTCGTGGCTTTTAGCTTCCATTTTTGAAACATGGTTAGAACTGTGTAGCGAAAAAACATATTTTAAATCAATTAATTTATAATATTAATGCTCCGTAAATTTACATTGAGCACTATTTTGTAAAAATAAAAATATCTATAAGAAAAACGGATTACATATCTTGCTGTTCTTTCTTTATATATATATATATATATATATACCATGTATGTCCGCATATAAAGATAAGACGAGGTAAAAAATATATAGCAAATTTTCATGACTTTATCCTATACCTGTCGTATAAGACGACTGCTTATTGATTATATAAAGATGATGTTATTGGAAATGTTATTGCTTACTGTATCCTCAGACATTTAAAATAAATAAAATAACAAAACTGGTTTATATCATGTTCTTCCTACAAATATCCCCTAAAAGGGAAACCATTATTTTGTTTACATTTCATCACGTGATCTTTTGGGTATATTGATTCTTCTTTTTCTTCCTCTTCTTTTCCTATATATAAATAATTACAAACAGCCTGGTGTACTAATGGCCATTTACTTATACTTCATCGACAATCAATAATACGGCTAATAAGAGTAGAAAAATAGCGTTATAATAGCCTAAACGTTTTAAATGCAACTGCCGTAAAAGAGATTTTTATTTGAAAAATAAAAGTTGTATGTAATTCGAAATTGTGTTGTTATTTAACATAAAAATGATGATTAATTTTTAATGAAAAATGAATATTATTTTACCCTAAATGTTACTATTACCGTAATTAACACTATCAAGATGATTATTGAAAGTTCAGCGAAAGACAAATGTTGCTGTGAACACAATCACAATGTTTACATTTTCTCAGCTGAGCTTGCATGGATACAAGTTGATTTCGTTGATATGGAATTATTCTTCAAATAGGCAATTTATTATGAAGTTATGCAAGTAATATATAAAATAGAAATGGCTTTATTACTTTTATTATCAGTTTATTTGATAATGTGAATCTTTTCATGTATGTTATTGGTTATCGCCCCGAGGCTGAGTTTAGCCTACCGACAAACATCACTCAGAATTTAAGGTTTCTTTTTTAGAATTGTAGTATAAGACGACCCACAATTTTTAAGCGTGATTTTTGTGATTTAAAGGTCGTCTTATACACGGAATATATATATATATATATATATATATATATATATATATATAATATTGTGTGTGTTTATGTATATATATGTGTATATATATATATATATATATATATATATATATATATATATATATATATATATATATAGGTATGTGCATGTGTATGCGTGTATATATGTGAAAAGTGTGTGTATATGGATATATATGAATATGTGTATGTGTGGATATGTGAATATATTTTTATGTTTTTATATATGTGTGTGCATGGGTGTATGTATGTGTGTATGTGGGTACACGCCTATGTGTATGTATATACATGTATATGTTATTCTGTGTATTCGCATGTGTTTTTGAACATAGAAGTATAGGTCCTTGCTGGATTAGATAATCGTTATATTTATCTTCATATATTTATATTTGATTTGTAACCTGTAGTCGATATTAAATTTGTCAAATTTTCTCAATTACAAGCGGCTCTGTAAGTAAACGCAATTTTACTTTCCTTCGTCCCATCTCTCTCCCCTACCTCTTCTTTCCCTCCCTCTTATTCTAACATTAAATTGTCTATGGTGTGTGTATGTCACCACGAAATGTATCTTTATGCATTAGACATCTGTCAACATTCATTCTTTTCTCTTATTTAAACCCTTCCACCCACCTCTCCTAAAATTCTCTCTCTGTTAGGTTTAATCTCCCTCCTCCTCATACTTACACTCTCTCTAAATTCTGTTTTTATTTCCGGAGTTGGGTTTTTTCTGTTTTCTTTTCGAATTTGTAGGTCTGATGAATTGGATCGTATTTACAATTCCAATGGAATAAATTATGATCATGGAATATTAGTGTTTAAGCCTTTTTTTATTATATATATATATATATATATATATATATATATATATATATATATATATATATGAGATAACGATATATATTTAGATTTATATCAAGAAACATTATTGAGGAAATTGTAATACAAAATGGAAAAAGTTTACTTGTGACGCGTTTCATCCGTTAGGGCTTCATCGGAATGGGTTTGTTGGCGTTGTTATGAGTACACATGAACGATAGACGCTGGTAGTTTCAAAATTTTGAAAGAATTTTTTTTTCTAGACCAATTTTTCTATATTTTTCTTTCCATCAGCTTTTAACTCCCCCGCATTTTGACAACAGGAAATCTGCCAATGAATGATGATACGTTGTAAAAGCCTGGAAGGCAAATTTACTGTGGCTGAACTAGTGATTAAAGTACTTTCTCGACATTTTCGTATATATGTATATATTTGACGTGATTTTTACTAACTAGGTCACGAAGAAGCTTTGCTGATGAGACATTGTTCTGAACTTTCTTGAAGGGCAAAAGTTTTTCGTTGCCGAGTCGGTTAAGGCATGACGGATCTAAAAACGGTTGCTCTCTGCCTAGGTGAACGCAGGATCGTACCCTGCCGAAGAGTCCATATTTTTCTTTAATAAGATTTCTCGAATATTCTGCTTGGTGTTATTGGAAGGTTGGCAAAATATCTGTTAATTGCTAATTGATTCAATTTTTTTTTTTAAATGTTCAATAATATTTCCTTATAGTCGGGTCACATATTTTTTATAATTTGGTAATTGTTTATAAATTTATGAAGAAAACATTGTTTTCAAATTTATTTCTTTATAAACTGGTAAAAGATAAATGTTGCATTGCATTAGTTTTAACACTATTGTTTTTAGTTTTTAGATTGTTGTAAATATAAAATTAATGAACAATCAGACAACTAGTGTTTAATATTTTTGTCATAAATTCTCAAGAACAAAAATTATGTATAAATTCGCTTTCATCATATGTTCAGGTTTTATTCCAATTCTAATGATCGCTTTTTAAAACAATAAACATTGCCAAAGTGTGAAGATAGTTAAAAAAAAAAAAATAAAGTCTTCTTGCGTTTGTCCATGTTTGCCAATATATTAATCCTGTGCGACTTGCTACACAGCTTTCCAATTCGAGGCGAACACAAAATTCGTTGAAAATGAGCAATAAATGCTTGTCTATGTGTGTCAAGGTGTGTATGTGTGTGTGTATACGTTTGAGTGTTCGTAGGGCTTATCAATCGGAATTCACGTGTACGGATCGCAAGCCGAACATCACGAATCAAAATGCGCGATTATTTTCTGTCTCCAAAGCCTTTCTCCCAGGCTTCTCCAACCAGTTCTGACGTCATTAAGCACTTCCGGTTGGATAAGCAGGCTCTTGATGTTCTTTGCAGAACACTTACAAACAACCAAACCCTGCTGACTATCTTGCCGTATTTAAGCAGTTTCAGAAGGAAAGCATAACTGTGGTTTAAGGAGGGGTCCTTAAGTGATATCTTCAAACCAGAACAGCAGTAATTCGACTTCCAAGACCACGCAGACTATTAATTATACACAAACATACATACGCACACGGCCGCACGCAAGCATGCATATATATATATATATATATATATATATATATATATATATATATATATATATATATATAAAGAAAAGAGAGAGAAAAGAGGGCGGGATGGAGAGAGAGATAAACATGTCCTGAAGATTGAAGCATGAAACCGACTATTGCTTGACCTCAGCGTCCATATATATATATATATATATATATATATATATTCATAATATATGTATATATATATTAATATATATATATATATAATAATATATATATATTAATATATATATATACACATATATTAATATGTATATATATATATATATATATATATATATATATATATATATATATATAGTATATATTAATAATAATAAATATACATTTCACGTATATTAAATATTAATATAAATTATAGCTCTGTTATTATACATCGAGGACTATTTTAATAGCAACTGCATACAATATTTTGTATTAATTTTATACACACATATCTATATATATATATATATATATATATATATATATATATATATATATATATATATATATATATATATACATATATATATACATATATATTATATATTTTATACATATATACATATGTATTATATATATATATATATATATATATATGTATTCATATTTATACATATATATGTATGTATATATATATATTCATATATATATACATATATATTAAATATAAGGGTTAGCAAGCTTGAATCACTAAAACAATTATGACAGATTTGTAAGTTCGATCCTCACTGGGTGCCTCATTCTTTCGACCTTGTGCCACATTTAAGCTACGCTTAGAAAATCACTATAAATTCGTACAGTGAATATATTTTCCAGATTAAAAAATGGCGTCTTATTTAGATGACGTCATTGCGAACACTAACCTCTCAAGAGAATTTCACTCTGATATCTTCGGCTTGAATTGTTAATGAACCTATTTTTAACTGACTTCTCTTTAGTAGCAACAAATTCCAATGATGGCTATCCCATCTGCCGACAAAGAAAAATCGTGGTATTTTTTTTTTCAGTAACTTGCTTACAAAGCAAATACTTTTTTAGTGCCTATTTACGAAATATTACATTATAAATAGCAAATTCCTTAGAAAACGAATATAAACGAGACTCATGGTTTATTTCCAGTTTCAACACTATAACAAAAGTCTTTTCATATTTCTTTACTGTGTCGGAGGTCTTATAAGATTCGTCTTTGTATGGTAAAGAAATTGATATAATTATTTGACATTTGTTTTTCAAAGTTTGGGGAATTTTTTACAATGGTTAGAAGAATGATAGTGTATGCTAGAAGTTGTTGAACTATTTATGAATAAAAAAGTACCAGTATATATGGTTATCTTTTAAGTGGTGATTAGATGTGGCACAAGGCCGAAAGTATGTGGCACCAAGTAAGGATCGAACTCACTATTCAGTTGTAATTGATAGAGCGAAACAAGTTTGCTAACCATTACTCCACGTCGAAATGGCCGAAACATATTGATTTAACTTAGATGTGGCACAGGGCTGTAAGTTGGGAGCGCCCAGTGAAGATGGAACTCACTACTCAGTTGTAATTGATCTAGCGAGACAAGTTTGTTAAACATTACGCCACGGCGAAATTATCTCAAAATAATTATAGAAGCAGAGCTTAGATGTGGCACAAGGCTGAAAGTGTGGAGCACCCAGTGAGGATCGAAATGCATATGATGTTAACCCTAGAACACTAACCATGGGTATATAGTACCCAGCGGAAATTTTCCGATTTTTAATTACCATTTTCAGTACCAGATTTTCTTACCTAAATAATGTCTTTCAGTTCCTATTAATGTTAACTCAAAATACAAAGTTTGAAGTGCCTGCATGTAAAATATTTCAAATAAAGATTTATATTTAATTTTTTTTTTTGATATTTTCAAAATCGGGTATGACATACCCATGGTTAGTAGTGGGGTAACTTTAACTGATGGTTAGTGTTCTAGGGTTAATGGTAATACTAAAGTTATGTGTTCTTTCATACTAAAATATTCGGCATATAGTGATCGGACATTTTTTTTTAAAATCCTTTCTCCCCCCCAAACAACGCAATAATGTCATTAGGGTGCAAGGGGTTACTGGGACTGAAATAAAACCAGAAGACAGGTTTCAAGAAGACAGAAGATGGCGATTGGCGTCGGATTTAAATGTTTGTAGATTGTAGGTGGCAGGGGAACTAGAAATTGGGAGAGACTTCCACAGCCGAGAAGTGCGAGAAAAGAAACTATTAGAATAGAACATACGGTTGCAGCTTACTAGTTCAACCGTAAAACGATGAAACCTAGTTGCCAATCTAGTAACACACTCAAAATTCGGTTGAAGCATCGAGGAGGAAAACACATCAGCACAATTGCAATGAAAATATTTGTAGAAAAGACAGAGGGAAGCCACATCATATCGATTAGAAAGTGATTGAAATCGAGATGCCAGGTCAGGATCGATTGCACTACAGACCCTTTTGGAATTTGCTCAAGAATCTCGCGATATATATTCGGAGCACCAGAACAGATATGGCAGCAATATTCAACGCACGGACGAATGGTAGATTTACTAATGTGCCACATGGATTCAGACAAGAAAAATTTCATGGCATGACACAATAAACCAATCATCCTTACAACAGACGTAGCAAATGTTCACCATATTTGCCGTAGTCTTTGAATATAGAATCCAGTGAAGTACGTAATGTGTTCAATATCAGAGGTTGGCAGTGTAGATTCGGAGAAAGTAGCGGCAGTTAATTCTTTAAGTCTTCGATATCAGGTTGGCAGTGGAGATATTTTGGGAGAAAAAAAACAAAATGGCTGCCTTTATACACGTCGCATTGAATATTTTGAGCTTTCTGATTGGTTAACCCTTCTATTGGTGGACTATAAAATGAGTCAGCTCATTTTTGGCTAGCTCACTAGTACAGACATATATCCAAAAAACTGTAACAGCAAATGACTCGGTATAGTTGTTTCACATCATGTCACTGGAAAACATGAACCCAAGAAGGCGCGAAGATTTGCTCTCCCGGAGATCAACATCAGCCATCTTGATGACAGGCAGAAACAGTTCTCTGTGGTGATTAAATGAAAACAGTTTTGTTTTGGGGGCGTTAAAATTGACAAACCATTCCTTGTATGCTCACTTTTGTCACGTGCTCTCTACATTGTATTCAAAACATTCGTTAGTAAATAATAAAGAAAAAAAAAACACCTTTTTGCGCTTTCAGGTCTTTTAAGAGAAAGACAACAGTTAAATTTAGTTCTCTTAGGTCAAATTAAAGATTTTATTGGAAGCCATGATGAAAGAAAGAATGATTACGACGATAGTTCTGCTTATTTTTTTTTTTGGCAGTTCTTCCGCCTAAGAACGTAAATCCGTAAAATGCGTTTTAAAACACCGACTATTTATGCTTTATTGTCTTTTAAATGTTCAAGCATTACGTTGTTTTATGGAGGCTTTGGTGTGGCGTAATGTGTCGAGTTTATTGTTTTTCTATTCGACGTCTAGAGATTTTGAAAGTACTTCATGATTTTGTTTCTTTCTTCTTTCTTTAACGTCTCCATCAATCTATCTATATCTTTTGAAAGATTTTTGTGTTGTAGCTCTTTTCTTTCTTTCTTTTGTATCTCTTGTAAGTCGTTCCTGTTTCTCATTTGATCTTTTCTTTGTTCTTTTTTCTCGACTCTTTCTTTCTTTCTTGCTTTCTTTCTTCAATTCTCCACCTAAATCTCTATTTTATTATAGCTTTTATTTTCTCTTTATTTCTATTTATTTTTTAAATTTATTTCGTCTCTTTTTCTCTTTTTTTCTCCCTTTCTTTTTCTTTCATTCATTCATTCGTTCATTCTTTCTTTCTTTATCTCTTGTAATTCTTTCTTGGTCTAGTTTTTTTCTCTTTCTTTCTTTCTTTCTTTAGTTTTTTACTGTCTTTTTCTTTCTTTGTTTAGTTTTTTACTGACTTTTTTCTTTCTTTAGTGGCTTCTTTTTTCTTTTTCTTTCTTACTTTCTTTCCCACAAGATTTTTTCTCCTTTTCTTTGTCTTTTTCATTCTTTTATTCTTTCTTTCTTCTATTCATCTTTCCATTTTTATGATTTTTTAAATGCCTTCATTATTCCTTTTTCATTTCTTTCTTTCTTGGTTTTTCTTTTTTTCCCTCTTTTTCTTTCTTTCTTTCTTTCTTTCTTTCTTTCTTTTAATTCATTTCTGTTCCAGCTTTTATCATGTTTTCTTTTTCTTTCTTTTATGACTTCTTTCTTTCTTTTTCTTTTTTACTTTCTTTTCCACCTGATATTTTTTCTCTTTTTCCTTATTCCTTACCTCATTTTGGTCTCTTTCTTTCTTTCTTTCTTTCATCTCAATCTCTTGTAAATTTCTATTGTAGCTTTTATTTTCTCTTTATCTATTTTTCTTCTTTACTTTATTCGCTTCTTTCGATTTCCCTTTCCCACTTTCTTTCTTTTTTCTTTTAATTCTAGTTTCTATTCTAGATTTTTTCTTTCTTTCTTTCTTTCTTTCTTTCTTTCTTTCTTATTTCATTACCGTCTCCTTTATTTCTTATTCATTTCCTCTTTTTCCTGTTCGCCCCCCTTCCGTTCCTCTTTCTTTCTTTCTTTCTTTCTTTCTTTCTTTCTTTCTTTTAATTCTAGTTTCTATTATAGATTTTTTTTCTTTCTTTCTTTCTTTCTTTCTTTCTTTCTTTCTTTCTTATTCCATTACCTTCTTTTTTTTTTCTTATTTATTTCCTCTTTTCCTGTTCGCCCCTCCGTTCCTCTTTCTTTCTTTCTTTCTTTCTTTCTTTCTTTTAATTCTAGTTTCTATTCTAGATTTTTCTTTCTTTCTTTCTTTCTTTCTTTCTTTCTTTCTTTCTTTCTTTCTTTCTTTCTTATTCCATTACCTTCTCTTTTTTTTCTTATTTATTTCCTCTTTTTCCTGTTCGCCCCCTCCGTTCCTCTTTCTTTCTTTCTTTCTTTCTTTCTTTCTTTCTTTCTTTCTTTCTTTTAATTCTAGTTTCTATTCTAGATTTTTCTTTCTTTCTTTCTTTCTTTCTTTCTTTCTTTCTTTCTTTCTTTCTTTCTTAACCTCACCCATCCGCTTTCCTTTTTTTTTTTTTTTTTTTTTTTTTTAAACGCCCTGTTTTCGGTAAATCTATCAAGTTTCTAAAATCGTCAAGAAATCTGCTCCTCTTGTCAAAGGCACCGACCCCCCTTTCCCCTCCCCACTTCTTCTTCTTTTCCAAATTTATCCTATCCCCTCTTGTTGCTCCCCCGTTCTGTTTCTCTCTACCTCTACCTCTTTCTCTTTCTCACTCCTCTTTATTCTCCATAGCATAACCTCCGTGCTTAATTCTTTATACAATACACCTTTCTTTCTTCTCAATGTCTTCTCTATATTCTTTTCCAACATTTTGTTATCAATTCGCGCACGTTCCAGTAGATTACCTTGAACAATAGGACCTCCTTATCCGCGGGAAGTAATTTCATAAAAAAAAAAGAAACCTCTTGCAGACCCCTAAAATGACGAATAGCACAAGCTCCTATAATTCCAATAAGTTTTAGGAGAAAGACTACTCTGGTTTTAAATCTATAATATCTAATTATTAGTTACTGTTGCTAATCTATTATTGTGCCGTATATAGGAATTAAACTTTATCAAAGATATGTATAAATAGTATTTATACTATTAGTTGCTAATCTATTATTGTGCCGTATATAGAAATTAAACTTTATCAAAGATATGTATTTATACATATCTTTGATAAAGTTTAATTCCTATATACGGCACAATAATAGATTAGCAACAGTAACTAATAATTAGATATTAGGTCACCACGGTTTCCTTCTTTTTATTTTCTGTGAGATAGCACACAGACACAATTTACTAAGAGCCACAAAGAAGAGAAGCTGTGGAGAGTCATGATCGCCTACTTTCTGAAGATACACGACAATAATAATAATAATTTTTCTTTGGAAAGGATATTCCAATAACTTGGACCGCTTTTAAATGTGAATTAAGTTTAAGCGTCTAATGATTCTTTTTCTTTTTCTTTCAGATTTAGCGGACATTTGGGCGATATTATTTTTCACACATAATTGCCATGACTTAAATCACATGATCCAATAGAGAAATAAATAAATTTTCACCAATAACACAGATTTATTTACTGCTGACTTTGATCCGTCTTAATGAAACATCCTTATATATAATCCTTCTTAATGAAACACCCTTTACTTTTCTTCTTTATAGTCTTTTATCTGTTGTGTCCCTTCAGGACGTTGGCGATCACAGCGCTCCACAATTTCCTGTCCTTAGTACTTGTTGATATCTCTCCTAAGCCCTATTCTGCCAACTATTTATGCAAATTCGTTAGGTAAGTTCTGAACTGTTTCCCTCTATTCATCTTGCATTCAATGTTTTGTTAGTGTCAATTTTCTAAGCCCACTTTCCTAATTATGTGCCCTAGAAATTTCAACTGGCGCTTTCTAGTGTTAAGTATAAGTATACTTTTTGTTTCCATTTCCTCTAAAACGTCGTCGTTACTCACATGGCCAGTCAATGATATTCTAAACATCCTTCTGTAGAATCACATTTTTATTGTTTCAGTCCATTCCTCAGAGTTTTAAAACCAGAGTAGTCTTTCTCCTAGACTGTTTAACAACTAAAAACCCAACTAAAATTTAAAGTCTACGCAGATCGTAATCTCCTGTCTCCCTGAAGTCCTGCGTATGACGATAAACTACGTCCAGCAGCAAGGCCACTGATCAGGAGGTTTTGAAGAGTGTGGAACCACCTCTTAATTGCTGATGTTCCCAGGTCCACCCTGACGAGGGGTCATAGCATCTGTTAGGGTCCCAACTATGGGAAAATAATTAACCCCGAAACTGAGACTACATCCGCGTCCTGGGTGTGACGATAAACGACATCCGCGTCCTGGGTAAGACGATAAACTACGTCCAGCAGCAAGGCCTCTGATCAGGAGGTTTTGAGGTGCGTGGAACCACCTCTTAATTGCTGGTGCTCCCAGGTCCACCATGACCCTGGGTGGTAGCACCTGTTAGGGTCCCAGCTACTTAGCAAATAGTTAACCCCGAAAATGGGGTCAAAACACCATGAAAGTGTAAAAATAAGATTTAATAACAGAAATACTTTGTAAACAATTACTATCAGCAATACATTTTTGAAAAAAATACCAACAATACATTTAAAAAAAAATATTACCAACAATACTTTTTTGAAAAAAAAAATATTACCAGCAATACATTTTTTTGGAAAAAAATAATACCAGCAATACAATTTTGAAGGAAAAAATTATTACCAGAAATAGATTTTTAACAAAACAAAATATTACCATCAATAAAAAACCCATTGAGGTTGATATGCCGTAAAACAAAATTAACCAAACCAATCTAAACCAAAGAATACATATTCTATTCATACGAATCTATCCTAAAAATGTTGTCAGCATTAAATAACCCATTCAGGTTGATATGCCGTTAAACAAAATAAACCAAACCAATCTAAACCAAAGAATACATATTCTATTCATATGAATCTATCCTAAAAATGTTGTCGGCATTAAATAACCCATTGAGGTTGATATACCGTAAAACAAAATAAACCAAACCAATCTAAACCAAAGAATACATATTCTATTCATACGAATCTATCCTAAAAAATGTTGTCGGCATTAAATAACCCATTCAGGTTGATATGCCGTTAAACAAAATAAACCAAACCAATCTAAACCAAAGAATACATATTCTATTCATACGAATCTATCCTAAAAATGTTGTCAGCATTAAATAACCCATTCAGGTTGATATGCCGTTAAACAAAATAAACCAAACCAATCTAAACCAAAGAATACATATTCTATTCATATGAATCTATCCTAAAAATGTTGTCAGCATTAAATAACCCATTCAGGTTGATATGCCGTTAAACAAAATAAACCAAACCAATCTAAACCAAAGAATACATATTCTATTCATATGAATCTATCCTAAAAATGTTGTCGGCATTAAATAACCCATTGAGGTTGATATACCGTAAAACAAAATAAACCAAACCAATCTAAACCAAAGAATACATATTCTATTCATACGAATCTATCCTAAAAAATGTTGTCGGCATTAAATAACCCATTGAGGTTGATATGCCGTTAAACAAAATAAACCAAACCAATCTAAACCAAAGAATACATATTCTATTCATACGAATCTATCCTAAAAATGTTGTCGGCATTAAATAACCCATTCAGGTTGATATGCCATAAACCAAACCAAATCTGTCTCCCTGAATCCTATTTTTATTTTGCTTTTTCCAGTCACTCCCAGTAAGCATCTTATTGGCTTTATCACCTTTTTTTTTATGTAAAACTCAGTCTAACCCGCTATCTAGCACATCTCTAATTCTACGTCTTTTTAGGAAGACTCCAGTATAACCGTATGTTTAACACATAATTGAGAGGAGAGGAAGAAGAAATGTAATTATATACCATAAGGCGAAGTAAACAGTAAGAATAAGGAAAAATAGCTAAAATCCAGCCAAGATAAATGACCCATCAGAACGCATGTTCCGTTTAGAGGCTATGAGGATATGTTGAAAAGTTCTCGGCCCGATTGATTTACCAAAATCTGGCCAAATTATTAAATCTTTCTTAGAAAAACCGTGATGATGAAACGAGGAATTCTTTGTTCTCTTGTCATGCATAGGCATATAGATGGCTACGAAAGTTCATATGCAGACTCAGTGGCGGATCGACCAGGATGTTAGCCTGCCCGATAGCAAGTGGGTGCCTGATGGAGTGGACCCATATATCAAATAAAAATGCAATAAGAAAACAATCACAGGCAATTGTTTTAGTAATAAAAAGGAATAAGACATTTATAAAGTCACCTGTACACTATCAGTTAATCAAGTCCAATGTGAGAGGACATTTTCAAAGCTAAAGATCATAAAGACAATGTTAAGAAATTCGGTGTCTGAGGAGAATTTGGAATCATGTATATTGCTATCCATTGAAAATGAATTGTTAGATTAATTAGATGCAGTTTTTATTGTTAAATTTGCAGTTTAACACCCGCATTCAGTTCGCATTAAAAGTTTCCAAAATACTTACATTTATGTGTAATTGTACATGCTCCATTTGAATCTGGCTTGATAAATTTGATAAAATCTATCATTTTGGAATTATCGATAGGGAAATTTGGGATTCAATCGCGTCGTTGGCGGCAGCCATTACTCGCATACATTCGCTGCGGAAAGCTAAACGCGGAAGACTACGGAAATCTAAGCTCGGAACTTATCTTTCTAGTCTAAATTTGCCTCAATTACTGCGCACGAGAACTATTTACGTACACACACTCAATTTGCACAGTGATACCTACACTGATAGCTATTCTGCAGCGAATGTATACAAACAACGCCAGTAATGGCTGCCCCCGCAACGAGAATGAATCCAAGCTTTTTACTGTCGATGACTTCAAAACGGTAGAGTTTATCAAATTTATCAAGCCAGATTCGAATGGATCAAGTGCAATTAGACATGAATGTAATTTTTCTGGAAATTTTTTAATGCGAACAAAGTGCGGGTGTCACACTGCAAATTAACCGTTTTTTTTTTTTTGGTTGACCACTGCTGTAGCCTGGTATTGAACTCACAACTCTAGTCACTGGATCTGACCAACGCCTTTATCCAGTGGCAGTACTACAGTGGTGGTGAACCAAAAAAAAAAAAAAATCATGGAGAGTCGAGTTAAAGGGAAATAACTGAGACATCCGGAAGAGGCATGGCACGTGGAAGTAGAACAATCTACCCAGGTGGACGAAATAAAGGGTTCGGTTAGAAATTCCAATCACCTGAAGAAGGCCAGAGCGTACAACGGCCGAAACATTGTGAATATGGCAATGAAGATGAGGATAAGAGTCCGAATAATTTAAATAATATAAATAAACCAATTACTTAAAAATAAAAATAAAAAAATTAAATTATAACATCCTGTATTTACAAAATCATGAACACTTTTGTAATGAAAAAGATACGCAGGTGTAGGCTTTAAGAGTCAACTGAGAATACAAGGTCCGCGTATAGTGTCCTTTTATAGTCCCAGTAAACAAAAATAGCTC